ATATGTATGTATCCGACGATGTGAGGTCACTGATAGTACTTATAGTATTATATTACGGTCACAAATAACAACCATGAGCTGGCTCACGATATTGTTCAAACAGTGTAAGCTCGCGGACAACATGGCATGCGGTGTCAAATGTAATTTGTACCACGTCTCTTGTTCTTTACGTTTTACAAATCAAACTCAAGTACAGTCGACGGGGCGTAGTTTGAGGACCGCTGGCCTAGACTTTCTTATTCTTCTCTACAAGATTCACAGCACCTATGGAATAGATGACCCTATCATGGAATGGATGTTTGCTTTCCTATTTCATCGCCGCTTGAATGTTAGAGTCAGTAGCACGTTGACTGATCCGACAGAGGCACACTGCGGCGTACCACCAGGCTTAGTACTAGGATTACTGCTATTCTTGATGAGCATATGCGACGTCGCAAGATGGGATCACATCCAAACGGAATTTAAGATAATCATGGCCCTTCCTGGTTTTCATAAACAACCCCGAAATAGTGAGCATCTCAAATGTATCCAGGTTACGCATGGTCACAAGAAGTGATAGGCCATCAGGGTGATGGATCGCCATATAATACTGCAAGACGGCCTCATCAGAGCTTACGAGCAATCAAAACAGAACACATTGTCAAATGTACAATATTGAGCACACATCACGAAAGAACCTACTGGTGTCTGCAAGGAGGCTGCATCTTACAGTACACTCCATGAAAATGTTGTCATGTTGCTGGCGCAGATGATCTCAGTTGCTCAAGATAGTCCACAAAATCAGCGAGACAATCTCCTCAATACTTGAGCCTCCATCAGAGGGCGTTTGGCCGAGTTGATCCAACAATGTTTTCGCAAATGCTCAATGTCTACATGAGGTCACATGTGGAATACGCCATCCAGGTCTGATACCCATGGCAAAAACATGGTCTCCGCTCTCGAAGATCCACGACAAACGATCAGTAAGAATGCTAAGGGATTGCTCCACCTCCTCTAACAAATTAGACTGAAGGCCGTCAGAGTTTTCAGTGGACAATATTGTCGCCATTGAGAGGATCTCATATGGGTGTATCAGATCTCAAAGGATCCCAACCACCCATGTCGATAATTATTGAAATCCAGCCACAACACCTCACAGAGAGACCACCATTCGAAGTTAGCCATACGATATGACTGGTTGGAATGCAACCGAACTGTTTCTCCGTTTGTGATGCTAGTGGTGAAACGGTCTTTGTACCTCAGCCATCTCCGTATGAATTCAAGACTCGCCTTGGTGATACATCACTCGGGCCAAAGTGTAAGGTTTAATCCGTTATTGAAATAGGGCATAATATAACTGAACTGTGTGCATTTGAGGAACTCACGATGCGTCCACCGATACACATTAATTCACTCTTAATTTATTCACTTTTTGACTACGGGACTTGTTAAGTATTCGCATATTTCCCCTTTTCCATTATGCTATGAGTCACCTCGTGGTCATTACGCTTTTTCAAATAACCCAAAGTCTTCTCTTTGAGCAGTTTTCGTAACTAGTTTAGCTTATTATCCACTCAATTAAGTATGCCAGGCATCGCTGCCTCACTGAAAAGCTTAATATTGACATCTTTAGTATTCAAAATTGTCTGCTTCTCCTACGACACTCCAGACATTCATTCCTCAGTTTAACATTTGTAGCCGATTGACCGAGCAGTGGGTTTTGTAAGTGCAGTTTACTGAGAATCAATCGAGTGACGGGATAGGAAGGTACAAATCAATTGAAGGTCTCGTTCTTGCTCAACTTTCCTCATTAGACTCAGGCGTATAAGAGCAAGAGTCTACTGAAAAATACCAAGAGGATGAAGAACATTATTATTGGATTGGAGGGTATTTGATGTTGTTCCATCTAGACACTGCAAAACCCAAACGTGGATCGAGGATTGCACTGTCAGGAACGAGCAACATCTAAAAATTTTCTTTTCTGTTACGGTCCTAGCGATCGTAACAATCAAGATCCACTTCAAAGTAAAGAGATATTCCAACAGACTACGTGTCGTAACTCAAACACACGGCAAGTGCAATGAACTATAAACAATGATTTATCACGGGATAAAAGCTTGACAGGTTCCGTAGGATGGTTCGAGGGAATACGATGAAAGCACAATATATATGAGTCATCTAATGAGTGTCAACCGAGATAAATGCGTTAAAAAACGTCAGCGTAAAATAAAAATCAAGTGTAGGCATACAGAAATATTCGGGGTGCAATGATCCTTGATGTAAAGCGTGAGGAAAGTAAAATATGGCCGCTCAAATGAATCCTGTAGAAAGGCATGATTGGCCTAATCCAAAATGGTGTAATTTAGGTAACAAAGTAGGGGAGGATAAAACTGAATCTGGGAGTGCGTTCCAAGGTGGGCAAACCCGAAGGAAAAAGTAACTCCGTCGACACCTTGACTATAACGTACCGACAATTTTAAGCAATTATCCCTGAGCTGCGTGTTGTGGCTTAGTTTCAGCAAATAGCTGGGGTCACTCAATATTTAGTACACTAATATGATATCTCCGCGTAGCCTTCGGTAACGTCCGCTGGAAGCGCCCAGCAACATCAACCCTCAATGGTAAAAGTGACAGCGCAGGCGCTTTACATTCTTTGTTGCTCTTCGTTGTGGTGTCATTAATGACTCTAGATCGCGCTTTAACCAAGGATGCCAAGCTTGCATAGCGTATTCAATGTGTGGGCGCACGTAGGAATTGTGCTTCATTGGGTCACATATCCCAGATGCCTTTCGCAGCATGCTGACGTGATGGTTGTCTCTGTTTGCAGCTAGCTCAGCCAGTTTCGAACAGGTGAGATCACCCTGTACGAGCACACCAAGGTCACGTTCCTGGGAACTAGTCTACAATCCGTGAACCCCAAGCAAATACGTGTAGTTATGTCTATGGCGTAATTGTATAACGCGACATTTGTCCATGTTGAATGGTAGGGCGTTATGAACTGACCAGTTCGACAGCCTGTTAACGTCGTAACGGAGCCGTTCATGGTCGTCCAGTCCTCTGATCATTCGCCATCTCTTGATATAAACAGCAAAAAGCAGGAACTCGGAAGCTAAGGATCTCGTCAAATCATTATTGAACACCAAGAGTAGACGAAGCCCAAGTACCGAGACTTATGGTACACCGCACTCCAGATCAGTTGCATCGGATAGTGATTCCCGGACTCATCTCCAACCGACGTTCGTGTAGAAAATTTCTAATCCAACTCAGGATTGGGTCGCCAACGCCGTAGTTCTGAGGTTTGTGGAGGAGAATTTGATGGTTTTAGAGATCAAATGCTTTTAAGAAGTCCAGGTCGATGATATCAACTTCAACTCCACCATCAACAGCTTCAGTCCGACTATTGCGTGCAATTAATAGGTTAGTAGCAATGAACGCTTTTGACGGAAGCCATGTTGCTCTGCTGCTATTGAGTTGTAGTTGCCGAGATACTGCATTAGCGCATCTGCGGTGATTAATTCCATAAGTTTGGATAATACAGGGGGTAGTGTTATTGGACGGTAATTGGTAGGGTCAGTGCGGCTACCTCCTTTATGAATAGGAGTGATAACACCTCACTTCCATATTGGTGGAATATGGTTCTCCTCTAGATATCGCTGATAGAAAACAGCCAGTGGTTCTGCTAGATCACTAGCTACCGCCTGCTGAGCCTTTGGTCGGATGTTGTCGACTCCAGGAGAACTGTATATACGCAAAGAGAACAACTTTTTCAACATAGCTTCCGCAGTGAAGACGATGTTATATAAACCCGACGGTGGAGTAGTAGAAGCGAGAAAAACATGTGCGCTGGTTATCTGTTGGAAAGTTTGGGAGTTATGAAGCCGTAGGAGATCGGCTGCTTCCATTGCTGACCTCGTTAAGCCCCACATTGAATGTGATTGGATGATGCAGATGAGCGGTCCAATCGATGCATATCTTTGATGACGGTGTTATAAGGCACTAGCTGCGATACTTTCGGGTAACTTGCTTGGGTGAGACCTTTAGATCGTCCCAGGCCGTGAGATGCGGACACAGCTATCAGAAAATTACTGATCGTATTTCGAAATTCACCACCGGAAATTGGCGAAACTATATCCATTGTGGAAGATCAATATGTCAACCCTGAAAAGCCATGGCGCTCTATCTGTGCCAGAGCTTTGATACGTAAGTTAGCGACCGCTCCATGGAGAAAAAACGGGTATCGGACTAAACTTCTACATGAAAGCACGTGTAGATAGCACAAATTCGCTCTTGAATCAGACCGGTTTCTTGGTCCCTATGCATGTGGATGATTTTATTGTTGTGAAGGAAATCACTAATTGGACTGTGGTGATGAGTGGAGAAATTGTTCCATCTCATGTCGGTCCCACAGTGGATGGTAGCGTTGGTTGCAGATTGCCGATAATCCCTGGTTTTTTTTCTCTGCCTCTTCTGTGGTTATGTCGACCGCAAAGAGAACGACTGACGGAGGAGAGAAGGAGCGCAGGGTGTGGCATTATCGGAAGCGATTTATTGCGTGTGGTTAGGGTATGAACGCGTTTTTCACTGCACACATTTCGGTGTTGGATTACTTTGCGTGACTGTACGTGGAAGATAATTGGCAACAACTATAGAACCATTGGTTAAGATACATCACCGGCATTGATGGACTTTTTTGTTTGCAGTTGTCCAAGTGAAAGCGGCGCATAATACCTGGGGCCATCTAGTAGCCAGGTTTCTCACAGTGCAGCGTTTTCCCTACGATACGGAGGACGCGGATACGCCCTGACTGAGCATGGTTGTCGTGAAGTTGTAGCAGAAATATAAGTTTGGTCTACATTTATGGGACCGCACAATAAACTAAGTAGAAATTCCATCTGATTTAATTAGTTAAAAGCCGGACATTTAATAGGTTTCCAAACGCTTCTTCACATTAGCTTCTATAACTGAGTAAATCATTTCAAACGGCTACCAGTTATGCACTCCTATTTACTTCCCTCTACCAGGGCTTCCTCACTGCCATGAGACAAGAAGTGGCTCGCGCCAATAAATATGCTCTAGATGACGTGGCGCTCACAAACGAGGTTACGAAAATGATGAAAGAGGACGTAAACAAAAGACCGAACGAAGGTGTGTACATCCACGGGCTGTTGCTGGACGGAGCCTCATGGGATAGAAAACAATCACAGTTGGTGGAACCGGTACCTAAACTGTTGTACACCCCTTTGCCGGTGGTTCACGTGTCTGCATATTCAATTTCTTCAGGAGAGAAAAACAAGACGGGCATGTTCTACTCTTGTCCAGTGTACAAAAAACCAAGGAGGACAGACTTGAACTACATTTTCCCGTTAAACTTGCGCAGTTCTACAGATCCGGATCACTGGATTTTGAGAGGAGTGGCTTTATTATGCGATGTTAGATAGATAAGTTATATCAGTAAACATTAAAGATAAAAGTGTCTTTTCAATACGAGCATGCTTTCTACGCGTTTGATCAGTAATGGATCAAAACAAACGGAGTCATTTAAGACATGTGGGTTGTTAGGACAGGAAAGGAGGAGATGACAGATAAGAGGCTCCTGCCCACAGGTTCATGAAACGTCCATTGTAGCAAACCTTTGGCAGTAAACGGGGTCTCCGACCATTCTGACGCTGTTACAGCTGCTAGTGGATTGCAAGGATATCTGCATCCAGAAGACTTCAAAATCTAATGTTTTATATCACAAAATGAACACCATCTAAATGGGAGCAACGACCTGCAATTTGACTGGTGTGGCCCGCTACGTGGTTTAATGGCGGGCGCTTTAGTCTACAAACGCGTTCAACCGCAAATGATCTAGAGCCATCTAGGGTTGATAAACGTAAATCCACGTACCAAGATGCAAAACTACTCAATGTGTACTTTCAGAGGTGCGGTAGCTACATTTAACCCGACCTCCTGCAGGAGGTCTCCCTGGACTTGATATACATCAGAGCAAGTACCCAAAAGGGAATAAGTGTTGACCGATCGCAAGAGACGCATCAAAAGCACCGGAACTACTCCAAGACAGAACTTACTGGAAAACGTTAGTGGTCCTCTGCGGATAACTAGATGTCATTTCCACACTCAACAGGGGATGGTGCTCCTTCTTACATAACGATAGTCTGCATCCCTTACCATCTTGCCAGCCCACAACCCGATGGTCTAGTCTCCGTTTGGACCACATGAACTCCCATCGGCCGCGGACGTCCGAAGACAGAAACCTCGGACATGATGCTATCTTTCTTCGCGCCAGGCTAGGCATACTGGTCTTCTGGGCTGCTCCGGTGCGGTGTAAAAGACACAATTACGGTTGGTCTGTTTGTCACCCCACCGTTGCGACTGCGTGGCATTCTGAGGACACGAAGTGCTCGCAGTCATCAGTTGGTCTATTGTGCTATCTGCCACGTGTGTTTCGGTAGCGAAAAAGTCCACCAATGTTCTGAAGGGAATGTCTCATCCACCTTTAGCAAGGGAATCTGCCACTGTTACCTATCTCGAATGTATGGTGTTTGGCAGAGGCCGAACCACTCGCTCGATTATAGCTACAGAATTTAAATAGGTGTAAAATTCATTTGAGATAGGGCCACATTACGGTTGTCCAAGTTTATGGAGAAACGAGACAGAGCGTCATAGTCCCCAGAAAGTGGTCTGAAGTCGACAAGCAAACCTTCGATCAGCGACTTGGCAACTACATGGAACCAGTCAAAAAATACGAAGGATGGTCTAAACCTTGCCATAGGCCTACTCAGGGGATAAAATGACACGTTCATTGATAGCTTCTTTTGCATGGCCCTTGCAATAGTAAACCAGATAAAGCAACCACTATCCTTCACGCGAGTTCCCTATAAATTACTCAGACTGTTTGATACCACCCCCCAATAAATTGCAGGATTACTGTCAAAAAACTCCAGTTCTACTTTAGGTAAATCCAATGATGAACAACAGTAGAATTGGATTTGGTTGCAGGGGGAGACGGCCTGGTACCAATGATACGGATTTCTGGCAGTCGTCAATAAACGGAGCTGTGCCCACATTCTTTGCTACTGGATTACATTTGGTTACAATTGGATTATCATGTCACTCAGTACCTCTCATTCTAGCTCCAAATGCAATCCAACCGGCAGAAAACGCATCTCGATTTTTATTCCCAACTCGGCTAACAAATGTTTCTTCTTAAGCTGGGCCAACCTAGAGGAGGACAACGCATTACGAGGACCAAGACAAACATCACTACTATACATTTAACCAGAACAGGAAACGGCATCATAAGCGATAGAAAGCGAATTCTCAGTTCACCGAGATTCATCTATGGCTTACAGCACATTCACGGATAGCTTCCTGCTTCCGGGCATGTTCACGGTTTTATATGGATCCACGCATGACAGTCATTTAGTTACACAGTTTTGTTATTCGCTGCCTGACTTTCACGTGATTGCTTGATTGATCTATTCAACTTTATGTGTTCTGTTTGCACACGCACGTCAGTTTTCAAAACAGCTTGTCCTCACGCAGTGCGTCATAGTTTCCGTTCTGAGTGGGCTGCGGTTAGCAATGTCAGGCGTCATAATAGATTGACGACTGAGACATCCGAATTTCGATTTACAAACCATGACAATCCTGTTGGAATTTTGTCAAGTAATGCTGTTCAGACCGCAAGCACAGTATGAAGCGTCCCAGTAACGTTTGTTTGAAACATTGACAACACGGATGTTATTACAGTCAGCACCTACAGACTCAACGGTTTCCACTGCAGACATGCTGACGCACACTATGGCAGAACTCCATTGCCAAGTGCTTTAGAGTCACCGAATCGCTGAGACTTAGCAAAATGTGGTAGGCAAGCAGTGTTCTGTCTGTTGTGTATTCTGAATGAGTCATGGAAGATTTGGCACGATGGACAGTCGTTTATGTTCATAGCGATCGAACTAGTGCAGTTCTGTGTTCACCATATATTGTGTGCGCCATTCTCCGAGAGTGAAATTTTTCTTGTACGCATTTTTTCGTGTAGGCAACTTTCCCTGTAATGTGTTTTCCGTGTACACTTTTTGCTGTACGCAATTTTCGTATCCGCTTATTTCGTGTACGGTTTTTTTCCAGTCGCCGTTGGCAGGATCTGAAGGGCTACCGAGTTTAAAAATTGGGGTGATAATGCCACGCTTCCGCATAATGCGGACTTGCTGTTCATCGAATCATCTTTGGAAGAACTGTGATAGTAGTTCAGCTAGCTTGGTGGCCGCAGCCTTCAGTGCTTTCGGGTGGATGTTGTCTGCTTCCAGAAAGTTATAATAGTTCAGTGAGAGTAACTTCCTTAACACAAGTGCTGGGTTGAAACTTACCTGTGTAAACAATGGACTAGGTAATGTGCTTGACGATACGTTATAGGTAGATGCTCCAAGTTCGAAAATTGGGGCGTATTGTAGCCGCAGGGCGTTAGCTGCTTCTTCGGCGCTTTGTACTCTACCGCCTGTCGTGAAAAGTGGAGGGATTCCATGCTTCACTTTATGAAGATTATTGACATGCCTATGCATCAGTTTGTTGTTTGCCAGGAATTTTTGGCTAGACACGGTTGTTAAGTTACATTGTCCACACGTACAAATGCAGTGCAATGATTGCGATGGGTCAGAAAATTGCCCCAAGCCCCAGAATCGAGGTTAAGCTTGTAGGAACGCCATGCTACATCCCTTATCGCCAGGCATATTCCAGTCCTGCTCCTTAGAATTGAAAGCATTTTTGCGGGACAAAGCGGTTTGGTCTTTGATGCTCTGTTGACGATGTCAACGAGTCTATTAACGAACTCTTTCCAAACTTTGTCAAGGGGACTGCTGTTTGAGAATTCCTTAGTAGATGCGTCGGCGAGTTCTTTCAATACGTGGTGGCGTGTGATTGTATGAGTTAGTTCCGAGTGTTCAGATGGATACTGTGCATAACACACATAGTTGAATGTTATTACTACATAGTCGCTGAGACCTAATGGTCTCTCTATCGATGACTTGTCCACCATGAGCTCTTCATTCGTGAGCAGAAGGTCCAATATGACAATGAATAATGATTTATAACGGGTAAAAAGCAGGTGCTTGACATGTGCCGTAGGATGGTTAGATTGAGAAAACAGATCAAGGGAGAATCGAATCGTCCGTTCGGGCAATTACAGATTTAACTGCACTGCTGTATAAAGGGAGTTTGAAAGTAGAATGTGCATGTGTGGTTATTGATCACGTAATAAGCACGAAAAAATAAAAATTAGCAAGGATAACGCTTACTCGTGTGCAGCTATCTCGGGTCGATGGGATACAGAAATCCAGTTTCTACAGTAGTAGCGGTTATCAGATTGCGTGCAACGCGTTTGGAGCGACTCATTCTCGAGTAGGGTTATGGCACCGTCCACTGCTGTACATTAGTGCCAGCATCTGGTCATGAGCTATAGCATGTAGTATAAATGGGACAGAGTATCATTAAGGTTTTTTTTGAAAAGGGATAGGGTGGAAACATTAATTAAATGTTCCGGAAGAGCGTTCTAAGGCTGTGACACTCGAAGGGAGAAAACGTTTCGCCGACATTCCGGTCGGCGGTACTTGGTGACCAGCTTAAACTGATGTTTTGAGTGAGTATCAGAAGAGAATGGAATGGGGGTTGGGGTTTCTCAGGATCTGGTACACCAGTCTGAAATCGCCCCTTAGACGCCGATAATGTCCACTGTATATTTTGAGGGTCTTCAGCCAGAGTGGGTAGGGGATGCTGGTCAAACTTCTGACGCTCTTCGTTGCCCTATGTTGTGCAGTATCGAGCGCGAAGAGATGGTGCTTGAGCCAGGATTACCACGCTTGAATAGTGTATTCCGCGTGCAGCCTCACGTATGCACTAAGCATTTTTGGAAAGACTGAAGAGTCAAACTTCCCGAAGGCTCTGCGAAGAAGGCCGAGGTACTGGTTTGCTTTTATAGACGCCTTTTCAGTGTGTCTCAAACAACCGAGGTCATCTTGAACTATCACACCGAGATCGCACTCGTGAGAAGCCCGTTGTAGAATTTGTGGTCCTGAGCGGTACTTGTACATATGCTTGTGCCGTATGCTGAGAAGTTTGCACTTGGTGACGTTGAAATGCAGCATTTTCTCGATGGACCATGCGTATGCTATGTCCAGGTCCTCCTGTAACGCTGTGTGATCCTCCACTGCAGCTGTAGTACGCCATACCTTTAGATCATCAGCAAATAGCAAACAGTTAGAAGATAGCACACTTGCGAGATCATTTATGAAAACCAGGAACAGGCGGGGTCCAAGTACCGAGCCATGAGGTAGGTCGCACTGAACTTCGATGGAACAGGTTGCTTTCAACCTTCACATTCAGGTGACGTTGCACGAGAAAGTCTTCTGTTCAGCCCAGAACAGGATCCCCGATTCCATAT